CAATGTTGGACCGGTTCGTGCTGGTCTACTTGGACGACATTCTCGTCTATAGCCGGACCTTGGAGGAACATCTGGATCATCTTCGACGAGTGTTGGAGAGACTCCGGCGTGCCAAGTTCAAAGCCAACCGCGACAAGTGCGAGTTCGTGCGTCAAGAGTTGGAATACTTGGGCCATTTTGTCACTCCACAAGGCATCAGTCCGTTGTCGGACAAGATTCAAGCCGTCCAAGATTGGCCAGAGCCTCGGAATGTTACGGATGTCCGATCTTTCCTTGGCCTTGCCGGCTACTACCAACGATTCATCAAAGGGTACTCGAAGATCGCGGCTCACTTGACCAAGCTTCAATGTGAGGACCGACCGTTTGACTTCGGGACGAACGCACGGGTATCATTCTTGGCCCTCAAGGCCGCCTTGCTTTCCGCGGAGGTATTGCGGATTTACGACCCGCTCTTGCCAACACGCGTCACCATGGATGCGTCTGGCTATGGCATTGGTGCCATCCTCGAGCAACATGACGGCGTGGATTGGCACCCGGTCGAATACTTCAGCAAGAAGGTGCCGCCCATGCACTCCATCGATGATGCACGCAAGAAGGAACTTCTCGCCTTCGTTCACGCACACAAGCGATGGCGGCACTTCCTCCTCGGTCGACGCCAGTTCCGATGGGTAACGGACAACAATCCGTTGGTCTTCTACAAGTCTCAAGACACCGTCAACAGCACCATCGCCCGTTGGATGGCCTTCATCCACCAATTCTACTTCTTTCCCGATCACATTCCGGGGAAGTCGAACCGTTTCACGGATGCCCTTTCCCGGCGTCCGGACCACTGCACCGCGGTCTACTCAACCTTCGAGATCGAGGACGACTTGCGGGACGGCTTCATCCGCGGCTACCAAGCCGACCCCGAGTTTCGCGACAAGTACGCAAACTGTTCCTCTCCCAATCCGGCGCCGTCGCATTATCGGATCCAAGAGGGATACTTGCTTCTTCACTCGCGGGGGAAGGATCTACTTTGTGTGCCGCAAGATTCACACTTGCGCACGTGGCTTCTTGGCGAGTTCCACGACGCCCCCGCCACCAGACACTTTGGCGTCAATTGCACGATTGGCCGACTCCGCGAGCGCTTTTGGTGGCCCGGTCTCCTCGACGACGTCACGCGCTACTGCGAGCCATGCGAAGTTTGCCGACGTTGCAAACCTCGCAATCATCGTCCGTACGGCGAGTTGCGACCATTACCGGTCCCCTTGCGCCGACGGGAAGCGATTGCCATGGACATTACCGGGCCGTTCCCCAAGCACAAGACGGGCATGGACGGGATTCTCACGGTGGTTGACCGACTC